TAGATATAGGGGTCGAGGTTAATTCAATGATGAGAATGAAGGAGCAAGACACTGAAAAAAGGCCAAACTTTAGCTAAGAGAACATCTGAGATGATCCTGTCTCCAACACAGTATTAGTCACTACTATGTTGCTGTGTTTGTTGGATTACTTGCACTAGAAAAATCCTGAAAGTGAGTCTTGTCTGAAGCATTCAAACTTTGGTGTCCAGGACGTCTTGAGCCCATGGGCTGTCGTATACACCACAATTTTTTATAGCTTAAAGGCCTGCAAAACATGAATAGTGCTAATAAGAAGCTGGAAAGCCAAGAATGACAACTGAATAGGATTTTTTTTGTGTGTGTGTGTGTGGGGGGGGGGTTCTGTCTATTCAGCAAAACTAGAGAGAACGTACCGCAGCACGCTAACAGAATCTCATCTAACACAAGAGCTGCCAGGACCCAGAAATAGATTTAATGCCAAGTATTTAGCAAGAAGATAAAGTTGTGCAACAAAAACAATAATGGAAAACAAAGCAGCCGCTCCTGATATGCTAGTAGATATCAGATTCACAAGAAAAGAGACAAGCAACAGTGTTTTGCTTTATAATAAAAGCACACTGAAATCTAGTTATCGACTCATCAGTCTTTGTAGTTTACACAACTTAAAATGTATCATTTATCATTGTTTTCATAGTGCTTTAAAAGTTAAAAACCACAAGTTCTTGTAACTCGGAGTTAATGAAAGTTGTAATAAGCTCTAGGAAGTAAATGTTGGGAGAGTTGTATTAGATAAATAGTGGTATTAGAACAATGACCCTGTCTGTGTTTAGACTGGTTGCCTTTGAGCCTCATTTTGTTGTTTTACTTTCAATAAAGTAGGCGCAAACCTCAGATGAGGCTTCATTGAACAAGGAGATCTCGGTAACTTGAGAAGATTCAAAAGTAACATTTAGTTTGCATTTTTTTCCACAGGATCAGTGCCTACTCATTAGCCCAGTGTAACCAAATGTTTTCAAACAGAAACCCAGTGATATTTACATTTGCTGTAGCCATGACCTGGCGTTGGCATTTAAGTCTTCTAAACTTTTCATTCTTCATGCCATGATTGGGAACTGTCTAAAAGGCTGTCTTTGTACTGACACTGGTATCAAATGGCTTCAAAAGTTGTAGACATAAGAGATTCATGCTTAATTAAGTTCAGTTAAACTGACAGCATGTAAAATGAAACAAAAATGACAACAAAAAATAGTTAGTTCAGCTTAATACCATAACTTGTTTTTCTTAAGGTTTGTTAACCCAACTAAGCAAACCAAACTGATTAAAAACTCATTTGACCTTTTTATTTTGTACTTTTTGCACATTGCGTGTTATCCTAAGAGCAGCTTTAGCTGTATACATGTTTTGTTACAAGATAATATAGCTCATTCTTTGATCGGAGTTGCTTTATAACTCCATGTCCTTAATTCACATTAAAATGCATCAGACATTTATTTGTGTTGTTTTCTAAA